CCGGCACATGGGAGGGGGGGGGGGGGGGACACCATTATGTACCCCCCTTTTATGTACCCATAGCACATCCCTTGGAAAAATCTGGAAATCCAAATAATGTTGGAACAAAAGTTGGTGATGATTCTTCAATTCTCCACTTCAGCGGCGACTTTCCAATTTGACTAGTTTCTTTTTCGTCACGGTCATCTTTGCCTGAAACTCAACCAATTTAGAAGTGTTTCATCCTTCATTCAACGAATCCGCTTCAAATATATCTGGCTCTTTTATAATTTTCTCTTCATCTATTTTTACGTTAACATGCTTGGTATTTGATTTCTTATCACGACTTCCTTATTCTTGATTGTAAAATTGTACGTACCTTACTCTCTTGTTGTTGACTCAGCCTAATCTCCTCTAGTGTTGTCTGATGCACACTCATCTGCCTAGGACTTTGTATTACTCTTGCAGACTCTTCTTTATCACTTGACACTTGTAAATCTTTAAATTCCTTAGGGCTTTGTTGTACTTCTGTGATCTCCTCTTATATTTTGTCTTTCATTTCCCTTGAATCTAGCAGCTCCATCATCTGCTGTGTCTACCAAGAATATTCTTCATCAAACACTTCTTTTGAATCTGGTAGTACCTCCCTTTATGGAGTCCACCAAGAAGATTCTTTAGGAACCATAATGTCTTCTCCTAAGTCATCGATCCAACCGTCTTAGCAATCCAACTGTTCAGAGAGGACAACTACTAATGCTGATTCGTCCTTTTAACTTGAATTACATTCATTTTCTCAAGCCTACTCAATTACTATTGTAGATGCTACAGTATCTCATTCTTCTTCACTATTGTATTTCTCTTCTTCGTCGAAGGTTGCCATATTACCTTCTACCGAATTCTTTTTAAACCAATAGTGTCCAGCATAATGGCCTTGTTTTTCACATACAGAGCACAAGCCATTAGTTCGTTTATAAAATTGATCTCTTTTGTTGCAATTTTCTTGAGCTCCCTTTTTCTTGTAATTTCCTTCAATCCGTCTTTTAGATTTACCTTCTTTTAATTCTTTCTTATTTTGTTAACGGAATTGGCCTCTTCTTTTATAGCTAATAATGTTTCTTCCGCTTCTTTCTTTGTTGAGACCCCTGAAATTTGCTTATTAAGGATTCTTGAATGGTTATTAAATTTTTTTGATTAACTAATGAAGGTTGCTCTAGCCAACCTTGTATACGATAATAAAACTTCTAATTCGGGTTTCAAATCATGTTATTCTTCTCATTCTGTTTGGCTACACTCAAATGCATTATTTGCCAAACCATTGTTCTTTCTTTCTAAGTTGAGAATTGATTGCGGGATCTCAGTACTTGCAATTGGATCCATGTTAACATCCTCCAAAATATTTCAGAAAACAAAATTCATGTATAAGGGGGAAAAAGCTACAAGCTATTACTAAGAAAAGATTTATGAAAAATGTGCATACTAATTGGCATAAACGGCGATCATGGAGCTCCAAGACACTACATTTCTCTCAGCCATTTTATCAAACACTCTTCTCGCAAACACAATTATGCCACACGCACCATAAACTCTCAATAACATGCGAGTCCAAACCAAAATCTGTTGAAAGCTGATTTTGGCCTAAATTTTGAGTGTGGCCTGGTCGTTTATTTAGGAAGATCAAGATTGATTTGTGTTCTTCACTGTAAGAAAATCGAAATCATATATTTACTTGCCAAAAATGATGTTTGGGTAAATGAGAAATTGGAGCTCAAAATGTGCCAAATGAAATAAGTTTGTGTTGGAGGAAACCAATTAAGATTTATCACACATAGGAAAATAATGAAGGCAAATACCACCATATATATGATTGCACTTTGAAAATGTGTGATCATGTATAGTATAGAGACTATCTTCATGTGCGTGCGCAGAGAGTGCAAATCATGGACTAAAATAGGCTTCGAACATTGAACTTGTATGCGATTGCGACATGTGAACACGAATGTCAAACTGAAATGACCATGATTAGCTTTTTAGAAGGGCATACGTTTTGCCAATTTTTTTCCTCCAATTGACATTTTTAACTTCTAAAACTATTGAAACTCCAAGAGTTATAGTCATTATAATACAAGTTAAGTATTCTTATGAACAGATTTAAGTCACCATTCATGGGGTTCAGTCTATATGAGAACTCATTTTTCCATATTCCATGTAAGAACCAATACATTATCTACATACTGCATAGTTTTACAGCTCTGTCTAGCTGAATTTTTTTGTTTTCCTTCTCAGTTTTGGTGATATTGTTTGGATACTAAGTCAATTTATCGAAGTGGTATTTGTAGTGCTCGAACTCTACTGGTTTTCCTTTATATCATGAGAAACAGACGCTCAAACCAAACCTCAAACACCTGGAGTGAGCTAACAAATTTATTTTAAGGAAACTGTATTTACACAACCCTCGGCTGAAAGTTCATTCGCACTTTTATTACTTCTTGCAATTTTAAATTATTTGTTCTGTTTTAGTGTTATTAATGAATTTATTTTAATTTGGATTTTTGTGGGTAACAAAACCCGCCTTCAAAATCATAGAATGCACGGATCCACCATCCCAAGCACGGAACAACACCCACAAGCCTTGATCACAAATAAAAATGCAAACTTGTCTGGTTTGAGGCCACCAACTGTTCGAAGTAATTAAACAAAGAGTTTGATGGAATCAATTGGGGTTGACGAGTTGTTGGAGTATTCTTTGATCATTGTATTCCACGCAAAGAGTGGTGGTGGAGAAATGGGAGGGTAGTCGAAGATTTTCACGCCTCATGGGGTAACATTGAGAAGGCGAAATGTATGATTTGAGAGAAGTATTCGTGGTGGTCGAGGGAGATAAGGAATAGAGAATGGAAGGCAGGATTTCAATGGCGGTTTTTGACCGTTGGAATAGAGTTTGTACATGACCAGAAATTATCAAAATTTCCAAATCCACGTAATAGCAAGTCCTGGATGGGGCTGGGTCGTCTTGGCCTAAGCTGATCGATTCTAATTTCGGGTGTGTTTGGGTTCCATTTTTGTGACAAAAATACGTTTTCTAAATAGTAATTTTTTTATTTATTTATTTAAAGAATGTGTTGTTAAGAAGTAGGGAAATTTTTTCGATTTATGGATATAATTATTTTATTGAAAATTGTGAGGTTGAAAATGAGTTTGAGAAAAAAAAAAAAGAAATTGAAGAATTATGTCTAATTTTGTTCTTTTCACAACGATAGTTATAAACAATATTTTAAAAAACGCAACGCGTGATGATGCGTTGAGATTAAACTTCGGTCGATGCGCGCCTAAGCAAGACATGGGCGTAAAATGACGTTTTCTTATTTTAACATCATTTTAAATTTTTAATCAATTAAAAAATTATTTAATAATACATATAAATAATGGTATCAAGTGCAATTTTAAGAGCTTAACATAAATATATTTCGAATAATAAACAAAATGTATTATAATAATGCTAATTGAAATATTTGAAGAGTTTTAAATTTTTATTAATTTGTAAACTATAGGAAAATGATTAATTAACTTAATAAAACATAAATACTATTTATACAATAGTACAATGCACTACATCCAAACCAAAGGTACAACACACTACGTTCAAACAAAAGGTACAATACATTACAGCCAAATCAAGGTACAATGTACTATAGACAAACCAAGGAATTCTTATCCCATATTGAAAGACTACAACAAAATCCTTGAGAATGCCTTATGTGGGCAAGCAACTTTTTAGATCTTTCAATCTATTAGCCTAAAAGTTGAGAACTTTATGTAGTGTTGAAAAAAAAAAAAAAAATTAATAACAATAATAATGTGCGTCAAGACTCGCCTATGCATAGGCTAGCACATAGGTCCTAGGCTTATCACGCATTCACGCCTTGGCAGCGCCTAGGCATGGTCAAAGCATGCTATTTAAAACACTGGTTACAAATGAACTTGTTTTACAAAATAAAGCAAGTTGTAAATTTAAGTTTTGTAGACGAGAACTTGAGGGTACATTTCTATTTTTGCTGAGATTTTTATACGAGTTGGAGATGATCCTCTGAAGATGATGAAGCCTTCCTTCTATAGAATTCACGAGAGGGCGAGGGTGTCTTCTCCCCACAT